TGCAAAGTTATATCCAAAAATCTTGGATAAACTTGAAAAATTCAAGTTTAAGTGGGTCTGGCTGCAATACTAAACTCAATAGTCTTGGATATGGGTATGACTGTAAAGTTATGTCATAAAAGAATAATACTTAAATAGATTAATTAAAAAAACAAAACAAAGAAGAAAAAACCAACATGAAGAAAAAACTAATAAAGAAAAAAATATGAATTAACTAGGTTAACCTGTCACACCTGAGATCCGTGTCATGAAAGTCTGATAACTAAATAGAACAAATTTAATATCAACAAACTAAATAAAAAAAATTAATTAAAAAAAAGGTATTAACCTTTTCACATTCGATTGTACTGTGCAGTTCAAAGTAAAAGACGTAAAAAAAAAACTAAAGGCATCAGCCTCGTCATCGTGGATTGTATATAATATTCAAAGAAGAAATTGAAAGAACAAAAGTAATGAGGAAAAAGAAAAACAATCTGAATCAATCGGGTTAACCGGTCAAACGTGGGATCTATGTCATGAAAATCTAACATTAAGAAACTAAATTAAAAAAATTACAAAAGATAAAAGATAAAAAAAAAACTAAATGCATCAGCTTTTTCACTGTGAATTGCACTATACAGTCCACAGTAAAAGGCTTAAAAAGAAAAGAAAAAAACAAAACAAAGACATATGCCACATGTTATTTTTTTCTTGCATAAAAAATATCAAAAAATGTTAAGATATAAGAGTGTTATGTATTTTTGCAAAGATATATCCAAGAACCTTTGATCTAGCTTAACGCAAGAGTAATATTTATAATAATATTAAATTTATATGACTCAAGTTTAAGTGAGTCTGATTGTAACACTAGACCCAAGAGCTTTGGATGTGGGTCTGGCTGCAAGGTCATGTCATAAAAATATGATAATTAAATAGATTAATTAAAAAAAAGAAAAAACCAATAAAAATAAAAAAAATAAAAAAAAATAAAAAAAATTTAAATTAACTAGGTTAACTTTTCAAATCAGCTTAACCCGTCAAACCTTAGATTTGGGATATGAAATTTTGATACCTACATAGAAAAAAAATTTGACGGGTTAATCTGTCAAGTTTAGGATACGTGTCATGAAAGTTTGATAATTAAATAGAAATAAATTTAACATTAACAAACTAAACTAAATGAAAAAATTAATGAAAAAGAAAAAAAGCAAAAAAAATAAAATTCCGTGTTAACTCGTCAAATTAGGTTAACCCGTCAAACTCGGAATTCATTAACAAACTAAATTAAACAAAAAAATTTATTAATAGGAAAAAAAAAACAAAGAAAAAAATCCCATAAAGGCATAAAAAACAAAAAAAACAAAAAAAATGATATATATATATATATATAATATAATAATAATAATAATAATAATTATTATTATTAT